GGGGGGTTGGCGGGGCGGGTAGGAGGGGAAATTGTAAGGCATCTTTCTCCTACAGTCAGGTGGATGAGAACCTCTTTAACTAAAATTTTCCTCCAGAGAATTATGACTGTGGGTAACAGGATAAGAATTACTGAAAGCATGACCATAATTGAGAATAGCTTCTTTCCAGCTTTTTGACCACAATTCATTGTCAAAACTACATGTGGTGACCCCATACATATACATGCAAATGTACTGATAACAATGACAAAGTTTCATAAAATAAAACCTACTTTTCCATTTTTCCATTCTATACCATTCTATTTCTTTTTTTTCAATGCTGATCTTGACCCACGATGGAAATACTGACTCACAGTAAAAACACACAGAAGCTGAAGACCTCAGCAGCCCCACGCCATGTGGCATTGCCCCCTGAAGGGTGTTCACAGAGCAAGATCTTGAGATGTTCCCATACAAAGACTTCCCAATGAACTTGGGAAACACCAAATGGTTCCTCTAGGAGTCCCAATACATGTAATGTATCAAAGGCTTTGAGACATCATTAAGAAAGAAAATCTGCTCTTATTTAACTCAGAATTTCCAAATTTATCTGACCACATAATGTGCATTTGTAAAACAATCTTCCTGCTAAATACTTTGGGGAAATATTGTACATAGAAGAAACTACTGAGTCAGAGATGAAAATTAGTGTCTAAAAGTTCAAAATTAACTGCATCTTATCCAACCAAAAACATTTTAAAGGAAGTAGGAAGGGTTAAATATACTCTCTGCTGTCTAATATAAAAAAAAATTCACAAATCATTAAAACTAAAAAGTATAACTTATTATGACCAGAGAAATGGAAAAAAAATAAAAGCACTAATACCTTCTGTATTCTGAGCATCAGCAAATTCATGCAAAAGTTATCTATCAGTACTCCCACCTAGGTTTTAAGGCTTGATTTAAAATGTTTCCATAAACTAAAAAGGTCTGGTAAATTGTAATTAATATATGCAAAGGACCACTTCATGCTTCTCCTACACCCATTCTGGCACTGAAGTGGCTCTGTCAAGAGCTGTCTGTATTTTTATTCACCAAGTCACACAGTATAACAGCTGAAGGATAGAAAGTTATTTTGAGGCTAACCAGAGCTCCAGCCAGGCTGAGCAGCAGAAGCAGGAAGACCCTCTGTTAAGGTGTTTTGTTGTTGCCAAATAACATTCCCAGAATCTCCAGAGAGTCATGGCATCATCACCACATATCATATATATTTGACTTTTGTCTATCTTCTCCCACAGAAGTATAGGCTCCATGATGGTAAGGATATTGCCTGTCTTGTTCACCTGTGTATGCTCAGCACCATCAAAATTGCCGTACATAATAGATGCTTAATATTAATAAATAAATGTTGAATAAATACATTTCAGGGATGACCAGAAAATGAGTTGAGTGGCAAAAGGAAGAAGACAGAATATATAATCAGAGGTCTACAAGAGACTGGATGTCAGTGCCCTGTTCCTTCAACAACCAACACTTCTATTTTCCTCAGCCCCCACTTAATATTTCAGATTGCACCCAAAGGTAGTTTAAGACTCTTGAGAACAAGGCCTGAGTCTTGTTCTCCATCATGCAGTCTTGCTCTCAAGAAGTAGCCAGTAAGTGTTTACAGAACCACACCAGGAAACAACATCAGTCTGTCTTGAAAGGGCAGAGGCTCCCCCAGAATCTCATGCTCTGGAATGTTCTTCCCACATAGAATAATGTCTCACCCTTTTCATATTTTCTTAACTTCCACACATTACAACACTGTTGGTTCTTCTTCCAAATAGGGTAAAATGAGTTACAATGCTAACTCCAGAGTTCAGAAACACAGTTTGAAAACTGCCCACAATTATCACTTCATCATCCCTACATGTATGCAAAAAAAATGACCATTATAACTTATGAACAATCTTAGTCAAATTCAGAAACACTCATCTATCCCTGAGGTGTGGTAAGTAGGGTTTTTTCCTCTGATAAAATATATACCTCAAAGAACGAGAAGAAGAAAATCTTCCATCCATGGCTTTTTCCATCAATAACAGCTCACCTTGCAATAGGTGCATGTCATTTTACCTACCTATATACTTACCAAAAAATCCACGTGACCTGGCCAGACCAGGACAGGTCCACATAGTCACATCATTCTTGGGAGAACCTTGGCCAGTTGCAATCTCCTTTGTCTTAGGTAGCCAAGTTAGGGAACAAATCTGTAATAATGACCCCCCAAAATACAGAATTACGGCAATTTCTGATTCATTGAATGCATTTTAAACTAAGTCTAGGTAGTATGTTCTGTCCCCATCTACTTTCCAGTCTACATATAGGGTTAGGGTATTAGAGGAATTATGTTAGTTCCAGGAAAGTTTATCCCAAAGCAATAAAAAACTAAATATACAGAGACTTAGGCACAATGAACCTATGAATTGAAGTGGACTATGATTATTTTACTTTCTTGGGCTCCAAAGTCACTATAGTCAGTGACTGCAGCCATTAAATGAAAAGACACTTGCTCCTTGGAAATAAAGCTATGACAAAACAAGACAGTGTGTTAAAAAGCAGAGACATCACTTTGCCGACAAAGGTCCGTATAGTCAAATTTATGGTTTATCCCGTAGTCATGTGTGAATGTAACAGTTGACCATGAAGAAGGCTGAACATCGAAGAATTGATGTTTTCGAATTGTGGTGCTGAAGAAGACTCTAAACAGACCCTTGGACTGCAAGGAGATTAAACCAGTCAATCCTAAAGGAAATCAACCCTGAATATTCATTGGAAGGACTGATGCTGAAGCTGAAGCTTCAATACTTTGGCCACCTGATGCAAAGAACTGACTCACTGGAAAAGACCCTGATGCTGGGAAAGACTGAGGCAGGAGGAGAAGGGGGCAACAGAGGATGAGATGGTTGGATGGCATCATCAACTCAAAGGACGTGAGTTTGAGGAAACTCAGGGAGTTAGTGATGCACAGGAAAGTCTGGTGTGCTGCGGTCCATGGGGTTGCAAAGAGTCGGATAACTTAGCGACTGAACGACAACAGCATGATCATTGTCTAGTCAGACTGCTCCCGAGTTTCACAGTTAAAGCAGAGCTGAGAAAGAAAATGGGGGGGAAAAAAAAAAAGGATACACAAGTTAAATTAACTTGCAACTCACAGGTGAAAAGGGTTTTACAAAAAAAGAAAACCTCTTAGGAGTTGAAACTCCTATAGATTCAGCAGCTAAAGAGAGGTGTGTTTGGGTGCTGTGCTCTATCATATATTATTTTCACAAGATTCTAGAAGATCAGAATGAAGGTGAACTCCAGGAAAGACATTTACCTGTGAGTTTGTGCTTGGGGTCTGGATACTCTGTCCAGTATTTATGTCCAGGATGTGTAAGCGTCCATCCTTCATTCCTCCTCCAACAGCGAGGACTTCAGTCTGCCAGGGACACCAATCAATGGCCTTTAAAGTTCCAAATAATCACAGGCAGGTCAGCTTTGGAGGTGAACTCATGAATGAGATGCACACATATAACCAGAAGTTCCAGAGTTCTGCTCCCATGGCAGATCTCCAGAACCTCTGATCCAAAGGCAAGAGCTACAACCCTCTCCAGAGAATACTTCTCATGGACTAGAAATCACCTATTGGTGTCTTCTTCAAATTTAGGTAACAAGTGCAAGTATTTAAAACAGAAAAATTACACAATAATATGTTTGAAAAACTACATTCAACATATCCAATGGGGCAAAAAATCTGCTGCTAAAATAGTTGACATGTACCTCTAGAATCTGATCACCAAATGCAGTCTTCCTCTGGTTTGTCTACCTGTGTCTTTAGGTTCTAGGTCAGAGAAGGGAACAGAAGAGAATGGAGAGCTATACCTGCTTGCTCGCAACACAAAAATCTTATGTTTCAAATCCTAATGAAAGGTTGCTGCTACTAGCTATGAAAGACACCAGGATTCGTGTTCTCTGGAAGAGAGGGATTCGATCCAGGGCCAGAGACAAGGCTTGATCACTCAGAGATTTTGTGTAGCAAAGCTTTATTGAAGTATAAAATAGAGAAAGCTTCTGACATAAACATCAGAAGGGGACAGAAACAATGCCCCCTTGCTAGCTTTTAGCAAGGTGTTTTGTACCTGTTAGCAACTTGCTATTCGGATAAAGGAACACCTCAAAACTGAGAGAGTTGCACCAGGCCCCTCTTCCACAACATGCATTTGAGATAGCACTGACACAAAGTGAGTCATCCCCAGTCATAATGCAATTGACATGAATCTTGAAGAAGGGCAGATTTCCAAGCAAATACATAGTTTCCTTAACATAGCTTAAGAGAACATTTCCATGAGTAAGAGGTACTGGTTTGTTGATCCATTATCAGTTCAAGGTTTGAGTCTTAGGGGAACCAATTTGAAGAAGGGCAGATTCCAAGGCAAATACATAGTTTCATTAACATAGCTTAAGAAAAGCTATGTTAACATTTCCATAAGAAAAATCACATTGTTTAACTCAAGGTTTGAGAAAAGTTAAGTTCAGGTTGAACCAGGTGTTGCCATGACAAGACAGGATTAGAAGAGAAAAGAAAAAAAAAAAAAAAACTTCTGCCACTTGCAGTTTATTTCCTCCTGCCACCTAGGGACCTCCGGCCTTCCTACCAAGGCTGTTAACCCTCTCACTAATACATTTTAGAAAATAAAATTGCCTATTCTTTAGTTATAAATTACTATTGCTAATTCTGATGTTTTCACTTATACAGTTTCCCATGTTTAACATATCTTTCATAATTATAATTTTTAAATATCCCACAATATTCTATCATGTTATTATACTCTAATTAATGTTTGTTCTACTGCTACACTCAGGCTGATTTTTTTTCATTTGTTTTTTGTTCCAAATGGCAATATTTTTTTGGCTGCACCACATGCAGCTTGTGGGATCTTAATTTGCCAACAAGGGCTCAAACCTGGGCCCCCAGCAGTGCAAGTGCAGAGTCCTAACCACCATACCACCAAGGAATTCCCTGATCTTCATTTTATTTTCATTTGGTTTGCACTGGGTTGGGTTGAGCTTTTTGGAGAAAGTTGCGGGGTGGGGTGTTGTATTCTTTGTTTTTATAAAGAATACTCTAATGGATATATTCTGGCATATGTCTTTGTTTCCAATATATTATTTTTTAGGTAAATTCCAAGCTTCAGAAGCGCTGACATAAATTTTTCCAAATAGTAGTAACTTTTTACAACACCAGGATCAGATGAGTACACTAACCTCATCCTCAGTTTAAGCTCATTTATCATTAAAAACTAATCTCCCATCCCACTTGCCCTTCTAGAACTTTGCCAACATCCTCCATCAGTAGAATCTCATTCTCCTCCCTTTGAATCTGGGAGGGCTTGGGACTGGCTTGCAAACAACTGAATGCACCAAAAGTGTCACTACATGGCTTCTGGAATTGGGTCATAAAAGGTGATGCTGTTGCAGGAAGGGGGAACCCTTCCAGGGCCTGAAACTGGGCTCTTATCTAATACTCAGAAATGCATTGTTCGAGGAGACACATGTGCTGACAAAACAAGAGATTTTATTGGGAAAGGGCACCCAGGTGGAGAGCAGTAGGTAAAGGAACCCAGGAGAACTGCTCTGCCAGTGGCTCACAGTCTCCGGTTTTATGGTGATGGGATTAATTTCTGGGTTGTCTTTAGCAAATCATTCTGACTCGGAGTTCTTCCTGGTGGTGCATGTCTTGTTCAGCCAAGATGGATGCCAGAGAGAAGGATTCTGGGAGGTAGTCGGACCTGTGGTGTCTCCTTTTGACCTTTCCTGAACTCTTTCAGTTGGTGGTGGCTTCTTAGTTCCCTGTTCCTTACCAGGACCTCCTGTCTAAAACAGCTCATGCAGATGGTCACTATGGTGCCTGGCCAGGGTGGGCGGCTTCAGTCACTGTGCTTCCCCAGCAATGCCACTTGCACCTTGCTCTCTGAAGCACTGGCCCTGCTGCCCTGAACCACGACGTCTACCTCTCTTAAGGCAGCCAGTGGTAAGGAAGCCCATGTGGTAAGACTAGTCCAAAAATGTAGAGGAGCTCTGAGACCACTTGAAGAGGGAAGGATGACTGGCCAACCAACACTGTCCCAGCTCCTAGTACTTCCAGCTTCAGTCACTGCCTGACTGCAACCTCATGAGAGACCCTGAGCCAGACTGCTCAGAAGAGCCCTTCCTAAAGTCTGACCCACAGAAACCATAAAAGATAATAAAATAATTATGTTAAGCCAGCCACTAGGATTCAGGGTAATTTGTTACATAAAAATAGATACCAGAATAAATATAATTAGAAACCACAATGAAATATGATTGTAGTTCATACAAGAAAGACAGTGAAGAACTCTAATTAGCCAAACTTCATTCAAAGTAAAGACCTTGGCCTTGTATTATGAATAAATGTACAATTTAATTTTGAAATTAAAATTGAATTGAAATAAAACATTTGTTGAATATATAAATTGAAATTAAAGATTTACAATATATATGTACTATTTCTCATGGTTACCTGCCTTAATTGTCTTTTTCAAATAACTATTCCGTTAGACCCTTTACTGGGCTAAATAAGAGAGCCATTTCAGTAAACACAAAATTTTGTATATATATATATACATATATAATATATATACATATATAATTTGAAGAGGCTGAGAAATTCTCCTGAGCCCAGGAACCTCAGTTTTATCACAGGATGAATATTAGTATTTTTTATATTTATTAGTAATCATTCTCTTCAGTACCCTATTTCTAATTAGCTTTTACTACAAACAGGCTGTTTTGGCAAAACTAGAAGCTCCATCATGAGCAGAATCACACAGATGTCAACATCTGAAGTCTGCTCATTACACTAATTGGTTAGTCTGCAGTGCCTGCAAGAACACTTACACTAGTGACTGTTCTCATGATTCCCCAGGTAGTAGATGCCACAAGGCTTGGCTTGTTCAAGTTTCCAGAAACTCTACTGTCAACTTAAAAAAATGCACAGCAGGAAGAGTTGTGAGTAAGTTTTACTTGAGGCAAAATAAGGACGAGAGCCCAGGAGAGAACAGCTCAGATACCTCTGAGAAACTATTCCAAAGATGTAGAGGGGAGGTCAGTATATATGTGATCTTGGTGAAGGAGGATTTCATGCACTCAAGCACCTATTTTCTAAAGTAGGTTTGTGCTAGTCACAAGGAACAGTTGTCACCATGAAGGATTTTAGTGCTTTTCTAGATGTGGGAGATATAAGAATTGGGCTCAAAAAATCAGCTCCCGAACTATCTGACCTGTTCTGCCTGTTTTCCCCAAGCACACTGCTTCATTTCTGTTCTTCTCCGTGAACTCCTTTCACGCTAAGCTAAGTCACTTCAGTCACGTCCGACTCTTTGTGATCCCGTGGACTGTAGCCCACCAGGCTCCTCTGCCCATGGGATTCTCCAGGCAAGAATACTGGAGTGAGTAGGTGTTACCTTCTCCAGGGGATCTTCCTGACCCAGGGATCAAACCTGGGTCTCCCACATTGCAGGCAGATTCTTTACCATCAGGGGGTACTGAAAATTAGCAGCTGCAGCAGCACATGATTTAATTCTTACAGAGGTAGGTGGCAAGAGCCAATGGCAAGTGCCAGTGTGTAGTCGACAATATCTTAGTTCAATTCACTGTATTTCTGATAAGACATCTAAGAATATAAGCAGCTCCTTGCAGGAAGCAGCTCTCTACAAGAGAGCTTTTGCCTTGTCACTTTATCAAAGCTATATTTTAACTAACCTTTTCACCAGATGACCCCAATGCTTAACCACCAGCCCAAGCATACCTTTCAAAACTGTTGAATTTCTTACCTTGACTGCTGTAGGTTGATGTATGACTTTTAGTGGGTGGCCCTGTGTGTTTGCACCCGGATCATGGGGCCATATAGTTAGCAGTCCATCACTACAGCCACTGGAAAGCAGCGTGCCGCCCGGTGCCCACTTCAGCCCACACACAGCTTGTTTGTGTTGAAGAGTTCCAACATGGTGTTGGGCTACCCGAACATCATGATGATAAACACGGCCCAGTCTCGACCCACTGCCAAGAGGTAAAGGGGCAGGTTAGGACAGAGAACTTGAGCCCTACTGCTGCATAAGCATGACATGAAGGGAAGGCTTGTTCATGCTCTTGAAAAACCCCTTAGGATAGATTCAAAGCATAAACGTTTCTTGACTTAATAAGGATGAAGTATACTGTCTGGGTGATTCTTCTCAGAAGTTAAGTAGATTTGTCCGACAGTTTCAAATCCGGGTATTAAAAATATATCCTTTGATAGATATCTCCAATAGCTTTAATATGATGCAGACAGGCATGGAAAAGATAAATTTAGAAGATTATCATATTTGCCCAGATAGTAGTTTATGTATTGGACACAGGAAATATTACTTTCTGGAATTCAATACCTCATGTTATCTCAATGAAATGATGTATATACCATATATCTGTTAGACATAGAAACGTATTATTTCCTTTTTCTAGTAATCTGCAGATCTACTTTTTCATTCTACTATCATATAAAAAGATTATAAAACTATCTGAAAGTCACAACAAACTGCAATATGATTCAAAATCACTGGATAATGTCTCTACTCTCAGTGATTTGGATCCAAATTATGATAAAGGTCCTATCACTCAAAGATAATGAGTGATACTGATAATGATTTCTGCATTAGTTTTCTCCAAGGAGAAAGTAAATAAGTGCCTGCAATTATTTCTTGAAATTTCTCAAAGTCCAGTGTCAGATTCTTAAAAAACTACTTAGGCTCAGCCCTGAATAGCATTCTGATGAACTATACAGACTCTGCAGCCAGACCACCTGGTTCAAAACCTGACTCTTCCCCTTATGCTAACCATGTGACCTCAGGCAGCTGTCACAGTTTACTCCTCAAAAAAAGAGGGTATGGGGGACACAAACCACTTTGTAGTCTTATTGCAGGGATTAAAATACAGTATACACATCAAAAGTTAGCACAGAGTACTCCAAACATTTTGAAAGTGAAGTCGCTTACTCATGTCCAACTCTTTGCAACCCCATAGACTGTACCTATCAAGCTCCTCCATCCATGGGATTTTCCAGGCAAGAGTACTGGAGTGAGTTGCCATTTCCTTCTCCAGGGGATCTTCCCAATCCAGGGATCGAACCCAGCTCTCCCGCATTACAGGCAGATGCTTTAGCTGCTATTATTCTAAGAAAATATTTGCTCATATTCTTCATAGATAATGAAACTAAACTTACCCAGTGTAGATTGTAAAAGGAACCCAAGTGTAGAATTGACTTGGCTGCAACAATGCCTCAGGGTAAATATTTATTCCTTTATAAGTGCATTTTGCATTAAGTAGTTTTAAGTATGGCTATAATCACAAAGTTTTGAAATCTCAATTTACATCTGAGCTACTGAAAGAAATTGTAGAAGGCTTTGAGTTTTATTTAAGAAATACAGTATGAAGATGAATGACTTATTAAATAAATATTTAGACTGATTATGTAGGCTCACAGGGACAAGTCACTTAACTTTTCTAGTCAAAAAGAAGTAGTTAGACAACTAAATCACTAGTTCTCAAAAGTGAGGAAGCATCAACATCACTTGAGAAATTAGAAATGCATATTATCAGCCCAACATCAGACCTACTGAATCTCAAATTCTCAGAGAAAGGGCAGCGATCTGGGTTTTGAGGAGCATTCCAGGCCATTCTGACACATGGTCAAGTTTGAGAATCACTGAACTGGTTATTCTATGAGGTTCCTTCCAGCTCTAACCTCCGTGGGTCTGTGAATTGGAATTATGCCCCCAGAGAGCTTAACATATTCCCCATTAGTGATACTGACATCAATAAATACTGATTTCAACAAAATATCCCTCTAGCAAGTATTACTTGTTACAGAGAAACTTTCTGCTTAAACAAAGTTTTACATTTTACTTTAACAATCATTTCACCTGTAAATCTTGAGCCTCACAATCTCAGTACGAGCACACGCTGCAGACACAGAGCCACCATGGAACACGTGGCCGCTGGACCACTTGCATCACCAGGTCTGAACAGCTGACAGTTACGGCAGGATCATGACTGCTACTAATCATGTCTGTCTGGTTTTACTTTGGTTTTGGTTTCAAATTTTATAGTTCTGTTCACCTGTAATCAATTGGTGATGCAAACATAATTGGTTCCAATGAGATGCTTCTCACCTGCTGAGGATATAATGATTCCAGCTTAGAGCCCCAACTACTGATAAATGGCCAAGCATATTTCTCAATCGCTTTTTAGTGACCACATCCCATAACTGAAAAAAAAATGAAAAAGCATGGTTATGTAGCATTTTCACAACCCACAATCTTCTCAAAGAGCTAATAGCCAGTTAGTGTTGATACAGCCAACTCTTGTGCTAAGTGAAAGTTCAGCACCTCTAATCCTAAAGCAGTTTTCAATGCTGTCTGCATATTTGCATCATCTAGGGAGCAGAGTTTGGGTGCTAGACATTCTGATTCAATGGTGGGAGTAAGAGCCTGGGCATACAGCATTTATTTTAAAGTTCCTTAGGTGAATTCAGTCAGCTGCAAAAGGTTGAGAATCACTGATACTTCTAGTTCCTTCAAACCATGGGAATTCCAAAGCTGGATATCCACCTACAGTTATCAACAAATAAAATTTGAGTGCCCACACAATTTCTAGAGTCAGGAATTCCATTTACTGCTAAGCGACTCCTTTCCTGCCAGCTATAAAAAATACTGTAACCCATATTAGGAATGAGAACTTTGACATAAAAAGAAATCATGACATGACCCTCATAGGATCATTACAGAGATGAAAAAAGAGTAGAGCCACCTGTGACCCTCCAAGGTCATTGGGCACCCAAGCAATATTGTTTATCTGTTGCTAATAAACAATAATAATAACACATGAGAAATAAGATAGATTGATAGAAACTTGCTAAGNCTGTGACCCTCCAAAGTCATTGGGCACCCAAGCAATATTGTTTATCTGTTGCTAATAAACAATAATAATAACACATGAGAAATAAGATAGATTGATAGAAACTTGCTAAGCTCCCATTTTAGAGAGCCTATTAGAAAAAAATTCACTACTTTTAAGTAACTCCTGATTTTGGCTTTCGGTAAGAAAGGAGGACTGGAAGGTTATCTATCTCAGTTTTAGGACTTCTCTCCAAAGTTCTAAAAAGTGGGGCTCTCATAAGCCCAACTTTAGTTTGAGAGAAAAAAATGAGGGGATAAAAGGAAACGTGACACAAAGAAAGATTCTGTGAAAAAACAAAGCAGAATATCACTATATCTTCATTAAACAGCATTCAGGGAAGACCCAGAATAGCATAACCTCTTACTCCCCATAGCTTCAAGCACCACATCTACTATAAGTTTCTTTATTTTATCATACCCTGTTATTAAAAGTCAATCTTAGGGACCTCCCCGGTGGTCCAGTGGTTAAGATTTCGCCTTCCAATGTAGAAGGTATGGGTTTGATCCCTGGTCAGGGGGCTTAGACCCCACATGCCTTGCAGCCAAAGAAACAAAACATAAAACAGAAGCAATGCTGTACCAAATTCAATAAAGATTTTAAAACTGGTCCATATTTAAAAAAAAAAAAAAAGCTTCAAAAAAGTCAACCTTAGTTATTTAGCAACTATACAGAATACATTATGAGAAAGAAAAAGCAGTCCAGTACCTGTACTTCTCCCTCACTGGTGCCAACTGCCAGGCAGGTTCCCTCTTTTATCCAGGACACAGAAGATATATAGTTACAAGTGAGACGTAAGTATATATTTTCAATTCTGTTGTGATCATCCCCATTCCAGATGTATACGGAAGATCCAAGGGCTATGGCAACAAGATTTTGAAAATTCCAGTCCAGGATATTCAGATCTGTAAGAAAGCATTTCAAATTGGGGTGATCATACAGCCAAATAAAAATATTTTCAAACAAAACAACTTTACTTATAGGTAGAGGAGAAAGATTAATAATTTCCCCATGGTCAGTTGAAAAACAGAATCATGGATCCAATCAGATTATTAGAAGTTCAAAAATGAAAGCTGGAATAGAATCTTACATCAAGATGTACAATAACGCTTATATCAAGATAAGCAATAATGCTTATCATTTATGCTCTTACATACTAATTTAGAGGCATTTAGAAAACTTGGCAGTTTCATCTACCATTATAAGTAATAGATGGATTTCATCTAACAGATCATTAAAGTTTAAAAGCACATAATTCTTATGGAGACATCCTTGGACCTAGAATATACAGATGAGAGTTGCCACCATCATTTCTAATCAAAAGACAACCTAACTACAGTAAATCTAGAAGAGGTGGTCTCTGGCTTATTTATGATACCTGGAAGTTCTTAGTATTCTCTATCTTACACTCTAAGCATTACATGAGTGCTCAGAGAAACCATATTTGTATGCCCACATACTAAGCCATACCTGATTTTATTTCTTACAATACAGAAACTCCTATCCTGATTGATACACATCAGTATGAAACTATGAATCTCACCAGTTCCATCAGAGCAGTCTAAGCTCCCTATAGCTCATCCCTCCCACCGATGCAAACTACAAACTCTAAACAAAATTTGAAAAACAAACAAATACCTGAGAACTCTGGAAAATAGGCAAAAGCAGGTAAACCAAGTTAAGGAAGTGAAAACTTGGGGAGGCAATCCACCCAGGGGTGAGTTTTCCACTCTTCTCCTTACATAGCTTTACACTGAGGGTGAGCCCCAATCATAGAATAACAGCAGTAGTTCGAACTCTAATAGAAAGCCTACCTTGTTTCTGGTCAAAGAAATCAGAGAAAGGAGCTCAAGGTGGCCAAAGTGTGAGGAGAAAGCCTGGGAGGGGAGAGGACCACAGAAAAGCATCCTCTTTTCTGTGAGTGTATGAACCCACACACACCTCAGCCTAACCCCAAAGTGTGTAAGTACAAGGAAAACTCATATTATCCAATCTAAAAAACATGGAGGAAAAATTTTTTTAAGAAATGGACAGAACCTCAGGGATTGGTGGAATAATATCCACAGATCTAAAAGTGAAAGTGAAGTCGCTCAGTCGTGTCCAATTCTGCAACCCCATGGGCTGTAGCCTACCAGGCTCCTCCGTCCATGGGATTTTCCAGGCGAGAATACTGGAATGGGTTGCCATTCCTTCTCCAGGAGATCTTCCCAGGGATTTAACCTGGGTTTCCCACATTGTAGGCAGACAACATATCTAACATATATGTAATTGGAGTCAGGTCTTGGAAACAAGAGGACAAGTTTTCATATGAGTGCTCACCAGAAACCAGAGAGGCCAAAAGTCAATGCAACATCTTTAAAATGCGGAAAATATATCTGGCAAGCCAGAATTCTATATCAAGCAAATATATCACAATAAGGGTAAGAGAAGCCTTCAGTAAGAGACCAGATCTGCAAATACTAACAGAAGGTTTTTTACTGAAAGTAAGTTATATAAGAGGAACATTTGGCTCTTTGGGAATGGAGGGGAATGTTATAATTGGTAAATATTTGGGTAAATATAAGGACCATTTTTCCCTCACACAAATATATATGGCTTTTTAAACTAAAACTTTTAACAATGGTTAAGTTTTCAATGCATGTAGATTTAAAACATAGACAACTAAAGTGACTCTCCCAAAAAAGCTGAGAGTTGGGGAAACACATGACTGCAAGATTTTTACATATTGTGTGAAATATGCAGCGGTAATTCTAGGTAGACTGAGAAAATTTAGACTGCATTGCAGTCCCTAAAGCAATAACTAAAAACATAATACAAGGAGATATAGCCAGAAAGCCAACAGGTCAACTAATGTAGAAGTCAGAAAGAAAAGATGTTCAAGGAACAAGACTTAATGCACTTTGAAATTTAAGAGGCCAAGAGACAGAAGAGGAGGGAAATCAGAAAACAAAACAAAACAAAACAAAAACCAAGAAAGAGTGACCAATTGCCTCAAATGTGGTTGACAGAGCTAAGTAAATGAGCTCCAAAAAGTGACTGTTAGATTTAGCAGTGAAGAATTTGGGGTGATGTTACAAAAAACAGTTTCAATGGCATGGTGAGATTTAAGAACTGATTAGAGCAAGGATTAAAAACAAAATGGGGAGAGAAAATAACAAATTGTGAATTATAGACATCTTTTGACAGGTTTTTGCTGTCAAAGGGAGACAAAAGGGGTTATGGACTGAAGGGGAAGTGAGGAAAAAAGTTTTTGTTTGCTTTTTAATATAAGTGGTGTGCTTTTTAAACATCTCTTGAAATGAATTCTTCAGTTTTCATTAGTCATGGCAAGAAATTCTCTTAGAGAAGGAGGTACAGGAGAAGAATGATAAGGGAACTGTTCCCTTTAATGATTTTGTGTTTTTCCTGCTCGTTCCTCTCTGCAAAACGTACCACAGAACCAAACCTCATCCCTCTGCTCTTTCTCCCTCACCAGAAGAGTTCACCCTGGCTGTCAGCTTCAAATATAGTCATCTGACCTACACTCTAGCCTTTCCCCTCTTTCACCAACCTCATTTATAATGATTTCCCAGAAACTCTTAAATGTCTCACTGTTCCCTCAAATGTAATACTGCAAGAAAAGTCTTCCCTCCTCATACCATTTTTCCTGCTAACTTGTCTTCTTGGTGACACCACTGCTTCAAAACTTGGAATAATCTTAAATTTATGCCTCCTCCCATATATTTTTCCTCATGCAGAGAAAACAGTCCCTTACTTTTTCGTAACTCTCCTAATAAATGCATTCTGCATACTCTGCCATGAATTTTCCTTTGATGTTTCGCCTAGTTGAGAATTCCCACAACAAATCTAAAAATCTGCTTCAGACTTTGAAATTTCTCTATAATCTGCATCCACCCCCTAATTCCCCACTCCCCAAAGTATCCTCCTCACTGTCATTGATTATCATTAATTACCAACATCCTGCCTTTGTTCATGTTGCTAACATTGCTAAAAATGCTGTCTTCTCTTTTCCACTCCTCCAAGCCTACCCATCTTTTGAAGACCCATCTCAAGTCTTAGTACCTCCACAAAGTCTTTCCAGACAACTCCAAAGATCACCAAACTATATATAGTCTTGCCGCTCCTTATACCCCACAATTTATTGTTTATATTCTACATTGCCATGTTGGCAGCAGTTCAGTGTGGGTTAGTCTCATTTTCCCAACTAGATCACAAGCTAGAGACATAAGAAGAAACTAGGGACAAACAGCCAATATGGTTGTTTACTGGTAAGATTTATCCACGTTTAAAATATAAGCATATGAGTAGGTCATCATTTATACAGTTCATTTTATTACAGTAAAAATGTGTGCTTCTTGTGCCCCACCAAGACAAACAATGCCCATTCCTGAACATGAAAATTCTACAATGAAAAACTCACAATATTAAACGTATTTGGATGGTACACTGTTTAAGCATGAGGCACAAGGCCATTTGCTTCTTCCAGAATCAAATTTCAAGTTTATGCTACAGCACAGGATACATTTTGTCATTTCAATATTTTAATTGATGATTTAAACAATAACATACAATAGTCATTTCGAAGACCTATAAGATGAATCTTCGCCTCTGGTTGGAGTATGGAATAGTTTATATCACCGAATCTTTGGAAGTATTCATCTCTGACTCCATCGCTGCAGCCTGCAAGAAACAAACAGCTCTACACTATAATCCTGAAAACAAAATAATAATCTTTGCAAGTATTAAGAGATACTGGAGTGAACAAGAAAGTGGTCATCATGATAAAATTGAATTACAAGCTGCAGGGGAAGGAAAGGAAGAAACAGACTTCAGTATTTATTTAAACACTTAAAAAAAAAATATCCAATGACATTTCTAATAAAAAGCACATGAGTACCAGACCTAAATGTAATGACAGAGCTTGTGGGGAGCACACAGAGACACTACATCATGCTTTGAATATTTTGTTCTGTCACTTGAGATTTTAAGACCAAAGTAATGTTCATGTATCCATGTGTCTATAATATCAACAATTCTCTAATAGACTTAAGCTCTGACCTGAGTCTTTGTCAATAAAACTGTTGATTCATTGATTTTTACTCTTTCTCTCACTGTTTTTGTACTAGAGCACACAGTTACGTTAGGCTAGTGTTACCCATGACTATCTGAATTTAAGGTTGTATCTTGTGCTCAGTTTTACTTCTCATCAAAAGACCCCACTAAGTCTAAACCACAAGCCACTGCCTTTTCATCTTTCCAACCACCTGGCTTGCATCAAACTGAGAATGACATGATCAACAGGAAATGAGCCCACCCAGGTGACTTGTGGTCCCTATGACCACATAGCTTCTGATAAATGAATAAGAGCATCACAACGCCACACCAAGAAGCCAGAGTGTTACTCATAGACTTAGTGCTAACTATGAAAACCTGCAATTGTGAGAATTACAAGGTTACTAGAAATATGTACTCAAGCACTGACAATAATGGTTCAAAAAAATCACGTTCAAACTGTTAGTTAGAAAATAAATAAATCATGAGAATTTAATGTACAGCATGTTGAAAGTTGCTTTAAAAGTAGAGCTTAAAAGTTCTCATCACAAGAAAAAAATTCTGTCACTATATCTGGTGACAGTTGTAAACTAGATTTATTGTGGTGATCATTTTATAATATATACAAATATATCATTAATGTTGCATACCTGAAGCTAATATAAAATTCTATATTTTTTTAAAATAGTAATACCCAAATAATCAACAAAAAACTTCTGGAACTAATGGGTGATTATAAAAAGATATAAGATTAATATACAAAAGTCAATTACTTTCTTATATACTAGCAACAAACTACTGAAACTTTAAATTAAAAGCACAATATCATTTACATAAGTCCCCCCAAATGAAATACTTAAATATAGATTCAACAAAACATGTACAAGATCTGTATGAGGGAAAACTACAAAACTCTAATCAAAAAAAAAAAAGCTAAATAAATGAAGAGATATTTCATGTACATGGGTAACAAGACTCAGTATTATTAACATTAGCTCTTCCCACTTTGATTTATATATACAATGCTCTACCAGTTAAAATCCCAGCAAGTTACTGTGTGAACATTGCCAAGCTAGTTTTAAAGTGTATATGGAAAAAAGTCAACACAACATTGAAGGAGAAGATCCAAGCTGAAGGACCTCCACTATCTGACTTTAAGAGTCAAAAAAGCTACAGTAATCAAGGCATCATTCAATGGACATGAACTTGGGCAAACCCCAGGAGTTGATGAGGGACAGGGAAGCCTGGTATGCTGCAGTCCATGGGGTCGTGAAGAGCTGGACACAACTTGGCGACTGAATAACAGCAATCAAGATAGTGTAGTATTTGCAAAAGAACAAATATATTAGTGGAAGAGAATAGAGATCCCACAATGGACCCACAAAAATAGAGTCAACTGATCTCTGACAAAGGAGCAAAGGCAATAAAATCAAGAAAATTAGTTTTTTCAACAAATGGTGTTGGAAAAACAATATCCACAGACAATCTGGAAAAAAATAACTGAATCACTTTGCTGTACAACTGAAATTAACATAAAGTTGAGAGTCAACTCTGCCTCAATTTAAAAAAAAATGTATCTAAACACAGACCTATTGGTGGAGAAGGGATACATGTATATCCATATGTATCACTGAGTTCCTTGTGGTCCACCTGATACTATCACAACAATGTTAATCAACTATATGCCAATACAAAATAAAAAGTTTAAAAAAACCCACAGAACTCAAAAATTAACTCAAAATGGATTGTAGACCTAAAAGTAAAACACAAAGCTCTAAAATTCCTAGAAAATAATACAGGAAAAAATCTATATCTCCTCAGAATGATGTTTTTTCTTTTGCCATGCTGCACAGGTTAAAGGATCTTAGTTCCCCAATCAGGGATTGAACTCAGGTCCATGGCAATGAAAGTTCTGAGTCCTACCCACTGGACCACCAGGGAATTCTCTGGCAGTGACTTTTAAAATATAATATGAAAAGCATGATCCATGAAAGAAATCACTGATATGCTGGACTTCATTAAAGTTAGAAACTTCTGCTCTCCACAAGACATGCCTAAAGAGTGAGAAGATAAACCACAGACTGAAAAAAAATTTGCAAAAGACATATGTGATAAAGGACTCTTACCCAAAATATACAAAGTAACTCTTAAACCTCAACAACAAAAAAACCCCAAAATTTGAATTTTAAAATGGGCAAAATAACTGAATACCTCACCAAGAAAGGTGATAAATAAGCATAAGAAAAGATGTTCAACATCTTTTTCATTATATTTATTAGAGAATTGCAAGTTAAAACCATGAGATACCACTACATATCTGTTAAAACAGCCAAAATCTGAAACACTGACCACCACCAAATTCTGGCAAGGATGTGGAACAACAGGAGCTTTAATTCATTGCTGGTGAGAATGCAAAATGATACAGCCACTTTGGAAGACAGTTGGGCAGTTTCATATGAAACTAAATATGCTCTTATCATATAATCCAGCAACCGCACACCTTGATATTTACTCAAGTGAGTAGAAAGCTTATGTCCACAGAGAAACCTTTACACAGATATTTATAGTAGCTTTATTCATAATTGCCAAAACTTGGAAGCAACCAACATGTCTTCGAATAGGTGAATGCATAAAGAAACTGTGGTACATCCAGACAACTGAATATCATTTAGTGCTAGAAAGAAATGAGCTGTCAAGCCATAAGAAGACACATAGTATGCCTAAATGCATACTACTAAGTGGAAGAATCCTATCTGAAAAGGCTCCATACTGTATGATTCCAACTAGATGACATTCTAGGAAAAGTAAAACTATGGAGACAGTGAAAAGTTTGCCAGGGTTAGAGGAAGAGGGAGAGATGAATAGGTGAAGTATAAAAGATTTTCAGAACATTAACATCTATCTGCTGTTATAATGGTGAATACGTATCATTACACACTTGTCAAAATCCATAGAATATACAACACCAAGTGTGAACCCTAGTGTAAATGATCAACTTTGGATGATTATAGTAGTGTCAGTGAGGTTCATCAATGATAACAAATGTACTAATCCAGTGTGGGATGTTGATCATGGGGAAAGCTGTGCATATATTGGGGCAAGGTATACACAAGAACGCTATATTTCCTGTTCAATTTTGCTGTGAATTCAAAACTTCTCTAAAAAAACAGGATGGATAGAGAGATTAATACACACATACATATACAGAGGTAGATAGATCTCCTAGGATCAAAATAACATAGGTATATTCTCTCTGCTTTTATGGAACAAAGGTAGCACTAGTGGTAAAGAATATGCCTGCAATGCAGGAGACCCACGTTTGATCCCTGGGTCAGAAGATCTTCTGGAGAAGGGAATGGCTACCCACTCCAGTATTCTTGCCTGGAGAATCCCATGGACAGAGGAGCTTGGTGGGCTACAGTCAATGAGGGCACAAAGAGTTGGACATGACTGGGCAAATAAGCACACATACATCATATAATTTCTATTCTATATCAAATATTCAGCATGTTACAGAAACATGAACTTGTTAATGATCAGATCAGAGGAAAGTGGGAGAGATAAGGTAAGACATGTTCCCAGATATTTTATTTTGCTTTTAAGAAAATACAATTATAAGGAAAAGAATAAAGAAGGAAAGGATATGATTCACTCATTCATCCAACTGTATATTCCCAAACCACCCAAAAGAATATTCAGCCAGCCTTCAACTTTTGTGCCTATTTTTATGATCTAACTGTTTGTCCCCTTTATACTGCTGGGAAACAGAGGAATGAAAAGCATGTATGCACAAAGTTATCTTCTCCCAGAGGGAAATGTAACAGGCAAGTCTCCTTGGTATTTATGAATTAATTGAGCCATTGGTTCTCTTAAGTTTCTCTCACAGAGGTGGACTCCTAATCAATTATTTTCCAACCATGATAACAATTTCATGAATGACAAAAAGACTTCCAAGATGGAAAGGGGAAGTAAGAAGGAGAACACGTGGAATGCAGGGGAAATGACATGGGGAGCATTAAATACAGAATGGAAGGAAGATCTTCTAGAAACTGCCACAGGAGCAATATCTCTCCACTGCATGGCTGCAGGTCTTCCTTGACGCACTCATGACATCACCACCCAAAGATTTGTACCAGCTTTGGGTCCAATAGGTATATTTACAAGTCACAGTAGGTGCCCACTGGGTCTAACAGGTGTGCTTACAAGTCACAGGAGGTGCCCACTGGATTCAACAGGTATACTTACAAGTCACAGGTGGTGTCCACTGTGAGGTTTCAGAGTCTTATCAAATATAGACAAGGCATAAAGAAAATACTTTACGTGCACAGTATCTGGATAAAACTTATCCCAGTGATCCATTTTCCTAAGATTAGTTATCTGGCCTATGTGGAATCCATTTCACATTTTAAATCTCCTTGAGAGAATTAAGAATAGAGCCCTACATATAATGTTCCTTTCAATTAGTCTCTGCTTCCAACAGCTCACCCTTTCAAATCTTCTTCAGTGTCACCACCAATGATCTCTCTAAAGCAGAGCAATAGATTTGCAGTCAAGTCAGAGGAAGGGTCACATAAGTGTACTTCCTCTGCCTCCTATTTTCAACTTCACCAGAATGACTGCTAATGACTTTTTAAGGTGTGGAGATATAAGAACAAAGAGTATGGGAGTGAAAAGAGCAGTAAGAAGAGATTGCAATAATTTTCTGCAAAATGGATAAAGGTTTGATAACTGACCAGGAAGAACATGAAAAATGAAACTCACGTGCCTATAGAGGGGGCATGGTAAAGAAAAGCAAGCTGATTTGTCTTGCAGAAACCCCACAAGGGGTCAGGGCTCAGAGACACAGCGAAAGTTTAGAAAGAGATGAGCTGGTTGAAAGATGTCAAGTTCATGCACACACACCCTGCACACATACCCATACACACATGTGCACGTGTCAGAAGAAACCAGGTGTTTATTCTCTGAATAAACGAAAAAAGACAACCTCTTAACTCAAGAGCATGAGCAAAGATAGACTGTGTGAAAACTGTTATACAGATTTTAGTAGCCCACAATTCTTTAGTTCTATTTCCAGAACACCACGCATTTCAGAAAGCTTTAATTCTGAAAGAGTGAAACCAAAACTACTGGGGGAAGAGCTAAGCAAAGAAAGACAGTTCAGGAAGAACAGCAATACTTCCAAGCTCTATATGAAATTTTTCAGAGAAATAAGAGAAAACAGTGTATACATGAAGCATGAACAGGATGCTGGAAAGAGAGAAGGAAGGAAGGAAGAAGGGGGAGGGAGGACGGAGAGGAAAGAAATGACAGAGGGATAGAGGAAGGAGGCAAGGGGAGGGAGGAGATGAGGGGAGAGAGAGAGGCCTGATGGTGTCCAAGAAGTTCTAAAATTAAAACTAAGATAGCCAAAATAAGAAATTTAAATGGCAAGGCTAGTACACAGAATGAGGTAACCACCTAGAAGTAGAAGGAAAGAAAATGAGATGAAAAATAGAATAGAAAAAAATAAGAGAATCAATCTACAAGGAGCAACGATTACAGCCAACATCTCAGAAAGAAAGAAAAAAGAAACAAAGATGAAGAAATTACTAAAGAATAATTCAAGAAACTTTCCAATAATTAAAAGATACAGGTGCCCAAGACTGAACGATCCACTAGTGAGTTTGTCATTTACAGCGAGTTTTTTTTTAACATACATGAACCTTTATCATCATGAAATTTTAAAACAGTAACAATAAATTTTTTTCTATATGTATTCAGAGAGAAAAAGTAGGTGGCACAGAAAAGGTAGGAAGTCAAAACAATATATGACTGGCTCAGCAGCAACAATGGGTGCTGGGAAACAATAAAGCAATACCTTTTCCACAAAGTTCTCAGTAAGACTAGCATCTGTAGCCAGCCAAACTATGAATCAAGTGTAAAAGTGGAATAAGCACACTTTCAGACCAGCAAACCCAGAAAGAGCACAACATGGCTGCCAGGAAACAGTGGATCTAGCATCGGAGAGAAGTCCCAGAACTACAGCCGTGGGACTGACCAAGAGAGTGGCCTACTCAGCAGGTTCTGGGTAGGAGGCCACCAAGGAAAACAACGACCCATGTGGGCAGGTATGTGGAAAAGGTTATTGGTGGCTACGGAACAAAGCGTGGGGGCGTTTAGGGAACACAGTCATAATTTCATAGGTAGCTAATAAATGAAAAGGGAAAGCAACTTTTTAATTCCAGGAAAAACAAAGAGTTAAACTAGAAAAGAGTACACTAACTAGAAAAGAGTTAGAGTACACTATTTGGCTTATAAAGGAGATCAGTCCTGGGTGTTCATTGGAAGGACTGATGCTGAAGCTAAAACTCCAATACTTTGGCCACCTCATGTGAAGAGCTAACTCATTGGAAAAGACCCTGATGCTGGGAGGGATTGGGGGCAGGAGGAGAAGGGGACGACAGAGGATGAGATGGCTGGATGGCATCACCGACTCAATGGACATGGGTTTGGGTAAACTTCAGGAGTTGGTGATGGACAGGGAGGCCTGGCGTGCTGCGATTCATGGGGTCGCAAACAGTCGGACACAACTGAGCGACTGAACTGAACTGAATATGATATGAATATTAAATACTAATTTTACTTTGTTAAAGTGTAATACAAATAGACTGAGAGAAGTGAATGAAGCAGGAGGAGAACTAAGTTCTTACTATGCTAGAAAGTTGTGATTAAGTCTAAAATTGTAAAAAAATAAATTAAGAGTTTACAAATGTTATTTAGAAACTAGATGTAAATACCAGGGGGCATAGCTGGCAGAGCTAAGGTGGTTGCCTCTAGGAAATGAGGTATAGGGGTCGGGATAGTTAAGACAGAGGATTATGAGAATTATCCAAACTCTATGTTGATTTTTGTTCTAATGTAAAAATAATATATTTTAAGATAAGGAAGAAATGAAGGAGGCAGGGAGACAGGAGGGTGGGAAAGCAGGACAGACGGGAAATCTTTGGCCCATACCTTTCCAAGTGCATTGGGATCTCTCACAGAGCTGCATGCTCCCATTAACCTGCTGAGCCACGTTCTGGGTTGAAAATAGCTGATTTAAGCACTTCTGAAAACAAACACAAAGAGAATACTTATTCAGAAACACTTGTGTACATCTCAGGTGTGTTACATGGTGTAAAAGTAAAACTGATAATTCACTGGAAAATTTAAATTGTCAAAACCAACACTGCAATAGTTACCATTATTTATTAAATAACCACTGTGTAATGAACACAGTACAGAACATTTTACTGATATATTATTTTTTTTAATTAATTCTTATTTAAGTATAATTGCTTTATGGGCTTCCCCGGTGGCACAGTGGTAAAGAATTTGCCTGCCAGTTCAGGAGATGCAAGAGACACACATTCGATCCCTGGGTAAGAAAGATCCCCTGGAGAAGGAAACGGCAACCCACTCCAGTATTCTTGCTTGGAGAATTTCATGGACAGAGGAGCCTGGTGGGCTACAGTCCATAGGGTCNCAGTTCAGGAGATGCAAGAGACACACATTCGATCCCTGGGTAAGAAAGATCCCCTGGAGAAGGAAACGGCAACCCACTCCAGTATTCTTGCTTGGAGAATTTCATGGACAGAGGAGCCTGGTGGGCTACAGTCCATAGGGTCGCAAAGAGTCAGACACGACTGAGCGACTAAACAACAACAAAATAGCTTTATAATGTTGTATTAGTTTCTTGTGGGGGAGGGGATTAAACTAGTCATCTTAAAGGTCCTTTTCCACTAACCCCCTTTCCCATGAGAAATGGAAACATCAGCTCACAGAGAGGTTAAGTCAATTGTCTAAATTTCCACGAGCACAAAAATCAGGTTGCTGTTTCTCTGGGCAAGTATACAATGAGCCCTCCTGACATTCTTACGTCTGTGCCTGCGTGCTAAGCTGCTTCAGTCCTGTCCAACTCTGTGCAACCCTACAGACTGCAGCCCTCCAGGCTCCTCTGTCCATGCAGGTTCTCCAGGCAAGAATTCTGGAGTGGGTTGCCACGCCCTCCTCCAGGGGATCTTCCCGACTCAGGGAGTAAACCTCTATCTCTTATATCTACCTCCATTGGCTGGCGAGTTCTTTACCATTAGAGTCACCTGGGAAGCCCCTTACATCTAACTTTGATCAAAAACAAAGAGGCAAATTAATAAAAAGGAGAAAGAAAAGTACTTATTCTAGAAATATAATAGCAGTCAAAACAGAGAAGATTTCTTTTTCCTCCTTCTCGATGATACATTTAATCACTGAATCACAATAATTCATACAGAAGTCTCTCCATCAAGCATCACTTTGATATTTTGGCTTTCTTCCCAGATATTATGTCATATAATAGGCACTGCCAGTCAATAAATCATGGATGTTTAGGTATTCAAAGTAGAAAAATTAAATATACAGTAGAGTTTCACAACCGCAGAAATATGAGCAAATAATGCACTGTTGTGGTCTACCAGATACCTTCCCCCTGGCTTCTGATCATCAAACTATCTTCAGACATGTCAGATGCTCTGTGGGGAGCAAAATCACCCGTTTGAGGAGCACTGGCATAAAATACCATTTCTAAATGCCCTGCTGGCCGGTAGCTCAGTGTAACTCTTCACAGATTCATCTTCAGAATCCTGTAGAGACAACAAAGCTGACCAAGGCATTGCCCAGATAGTGTGCATGTCCTCCATGCACCCAGGGGTACTCTTCATTAGGTGAGATCTACTATTACTTTAATGAGCAACTTGGCATACAGCTGGCTGGGTATGAAAGTTTTGAACATCTCCATAGCTATTCAGCTCTCACTGTGGAAATACCCTCTGGATGACCTCTGAGGACCACAGGAAGACACCTTTCCACCGCCAAGGTGGAAGACCTCGCTTTACCTCTGCACCATTTTTGCTGCTGTTGGACTCCCAGTTAGTCATGACAACAAATGCTCTACATAAAGTAGTGAAACAGCTTCCATTATCCCCTGCCCAGGTTCTCCAGTGAAACTGGGATGATGTTCAGGCTGGATAACAATTGCTGTAATGATGGTAACTTGCCCACACCATCATGACCCCACCAACAGAGCCACCAACTTTGCTGCTACCAGTTGCCAGACAGCCCAAGGGGAAGGAAAAGGGAAGTCCTGGGAGTCAGAGCAGTAAAACCTCCAGTCACCAGTAGAGGGTGGAAGGGACAGTGGTGCTAACAGCCTGGCCTGGATATGAGTTCAACAGCACACATAGTTCCCTCAACATAACTCCCTCGCCATCTTACCCTTACCCAGCAGCAAGCAAATAGCAAGTGAAGCCACTCAGTCGTGTCTGACTCTTTGTGACCCCATGGACTGTAGCCTGCCAGGCTCCTCCATCCATGGGATTTTCCAGGCAAGAATACTAGAGTGTTTTGCCATTTCCTCCTCCAGGGGATCTTCCCGACCCAGGGATTGAAGCCCGGTCTCCCACACTGCAAGCAGACTCCTTACCATCTGAGCCACCAGGGAAGCCCCACCCAGCAGCAAAGCACCTAGCAGAAGACTTGCTCTAATACAGTTGTTTTCAACTGCATATGAGTTCAAATAATTAAATTTCATATTCACAATATTTTATTGTTTCTCAAGCAAAACACATATGCCAAACACAGGAAGCACACACCAAATGACTAACTATGCCTAATTGAGAATTTGTAACATTCCTAGTTCAGTTTTCTAAATGAAACATTGATTCCTTCAGAGGCTCTTCACTGGATTCGATAAATCTAAAAACATGCTATTGGTATTTAATGTGCACAAAGGATTTAGGGTGGACTATGATATTAGAATCATAATCAATGAGATCCTTAAAATAATTGTTAACTTAGTAGAGAAATTTTAAAAAAAAACCCACAAAACTTAAGGGAAATACTGAAAAGACCATCTTATAGAGGAGGAGTCAAACCAATCTGCCAAAGGGCAGACATATCACCACACACTTTCCAAAGAGTTGGGAAAAGACCGCCCAACAGAACTTTGCACTGAGAGGAAACATACCATAGTATGCATAATTTTATTCTATTTTTTTTTACCACACCACTTGGCATGCAAAATCTTAGTTCCTGGACCAGGGATCGAACCCACACCCCCTGCATTGGACGCATGGAGTTTTAACCACTGGACCACCAGTGAAGTCCCCCTGTTTTTAATCTTTACCTTTTGGATGGTTAGTCTCATTTTCACTTTTTTGAGTGATGCTAATTAAACACTTTTCTGTGTTACCAACAACACTGTTTCTTTTTGGAAGTGTCCTTCATACACTCGTTTTTCCTATCAGGAACCCATCCTTTCCTTACTGATTTGTAAGAGCAGCTAAGCCAGCTCTTATCTCACATTTGGGACTCAGCTGCTTTGAGATTCTCAAGATGAGAAATCTTCGGTTTTCTCTCTTTACCCACCGGGCCTTTTGAAGCAACTTTATTCTTCCAGCCTCTCTCCAGTGCATGAGGAGCCTTCCCAAACTGGAGAGCAGAGTTATTGGTTTCAGAACTTCCTTTGTTGGGGGTCTTCAGCGGTTCCTTGTAGGATCCTGCCAGAAAACATTTAGCTTTGAATTTGGTTTTTAAAATAATAGCTCAGTTGGTAAAGAATCTGCCTGCAATGCAGGAGACCCAAGTTCGATTCCTGGGCTGGGAAGATGCCCTGGTGAAGGAAATGGCAACCTACTCCAGAATTCTTGCCTGGAGAAACCCATGGACAGAGAAGCCTAGCAGGCTACATACAGTCCATGGGGTCGCAAGAGTTGGATACGAATTAGCAACTAAACCACCACCATAATCTCTTAAACCTTTGGTGGGAGGTCAGTCCTTGGCATGTACAGAACAGAATGTAAAGATTTAGGGTCTCATCTCTCCGAAGTCCTAGGTGGGGTGGGCTGGAGGGACAGTGCAGGGTCAAGGCAGGGTACTGGGTTCATGAGTGAACACTGGGTGAGGAATTCCCTTGGTGGTCTCAGAACCAGGAGGAAATGTCAAGATTAAAGACCTGACTCCAACTGCAGCAGCAGCAGCAACAGAAATGCTTTAACTCTGCGTGGAAAGAACACACTTGCGCATTTGAAGAATGGATACTAACAGTTTAAGGTTTAAAATGATGGTGAGAAGAGTAGCTGGTTTGCCCAGGTGGTGAACATCCTGCCAGGAAGTCACTATGGAATGCCTACCTGTCAGTCACTGATGTTCATTACATGATTAGAGCAAAACACTTCACCTCTCCCTCTTCCTAGTGCACAAAGATGTAAAACTAGTTTTGAGATGACTTTAGTAAAATACTTCCTAAGTTACTGTCATGGAAGAGCCAATGTTGTTTGCATCCATGTCTATTCTCTTCTCAAGATGGAGAAAGCCCTTTACCAGAATTTTAACTGCAATGAAAACCTTCTCAAGTCATCTTCTTAAGTTAAATACCTGCTATATCACTTGTTCATCAGAGGAACCAAGGCACAACCAGATTAAGTATTTGGCCTTTTGCCATGTGACAATCTCTTCTCATTCGGACAAACGTGCTGGATAAGCTGTCACTGATGTTCCTAGAGCCCAACCCCTCGAGTTCTGGGCTATCCAAAATCTAAGAGGAAGGAGGAATCCAAAATCTAATTTCAACTTTGCCAAAACACTCTGCAAAGTTTTAGATCTTACTCTTTGTCCTGCAAAATTATGCATGCCTGTTTTGTGATATTTGTAGACAAGTAAAGACGAAAAGAAGCAGGCTCTCTGAACCTCAAATGAAAAAGAAAATGTTGCAGTTGAATGCTAGTACTGATCATCCCAGTTATCAACAAAGAGTTCATGTCCACCAGCCTAAGGAATCCTGGACCTCTCAGATTTTGTCCACAAAGCATGACAGCAAATGAACCTCTCTACAAACATCCCTTTTAGGATGGGAGGGTCCTCAGTGTTCACTTTTCTGGAACAAAAAGAAAGAAATCCCACCAGCAAAACACCGAGAAACCAATGTTTCTGATTAATATGCAGTATAAACTTAAATGGAAAATAAAATAGGCTTTATTATAAAATTATTTTGTCTGATTATCTCTTAGAATTCTAAATTTCTCATGCAATGCCTTATTTGAAAATAACTAATTAATTAAGGACCTATGAAAGAAAAGGGAGCCACTTTAGGCAGAAATTCCTCTGAAACAACTAGCCAGAAATTCCTCTGAAACAATTTAAAATATCTTTCAGAAGATAGCCATAAGGATGAACTTCCTCCAACCCTGTATCTCCTATTGCTTCAGCCAGCTATTTTCAGTATTGTTACTTACTATTACATGAGAATTTCATTGATTTAAAAAAGATTTGGGCTTCTTCTCAATCTGCAGGACTATGGTGCCTCATTGTGTCTAATGTCACATTTAAATACAACATACTTTCTTTTGGTTTTGTTTCAGCCCTCCCCTTCCCCTGCCCCTTTGGAAATTTCTTATTCAAAAGGAGAAAAAGAGAAAGCAGTTGACTAAATACAACACCAGGTATTTCTGTAAGACAAAGATTCTCTCAGAAATATATCTTTTTTTAAAGATTTCAAAACTGGCTGTGGCATCTCCATTACCTCACCTGGAGCCACGGTCTCTTCGCCAGGAGTCATCCTCAGCACCGTTCCCGGGAGGTCAGGGGTGGACCGCTCCTCCCCAGAGGGGCGGGCTGTCGCCTCCCTGGCTTGGCTCTGCCGCCATCTTGTGGTCATCGGGCTACTGGCAACAGGAACTTCAGCTGACCGTCTCTTTGCCAAGTTGCTGGTGAAGTTCGAGTATGTAGTATTAACTACATTAACTACCTATTTAATAACAAAAAGATCCATGATTTACAGTACCCTCAATGATACAATCATTAAGATTCCTTAAGAGAGAATTATAAACAACTCATCTAGTACAATACAACATGTATATGTTGATACATGAAATTTTTAATTTTTGTGACCTGGGAAAATTTTGTTTTACATATGCATATAAAATAAACATATGATTACATATTTTAACACACACACACACACACACACACACACACACTCAGAGCCTCTGCTGAGGGTCTCAAGACACACCAAAGCAATTGAGGGAGTGATTATACTTATGCTTATTACTATTACATACAAATATAAAATATGAAGTTGAATAACACTATATACTGAGCATATAAGATGCTTACATAAAATCATAAAATTTCATAAAATCTGGAAATAAACAGCAATTTTCTAAGTCCAATCCATTTCACAGATAGGAAAACTGAGGCCTAACTTGCACAACTTCTGTCCATCCTTTCTGAGAAACAACAGGAGTTTAGTAGTTACAGATCCTTTAGTGGTGAGCCATGTCCTGGAGCCATGTGAAATTAAAATGAAAATGAGTTACTTTTTAACAAAATAACAGGCATATTAGGTTGTGCCTGCTAAGTTGTTTCTGTCGTGTCTAACTCTTTGCAACCCTATTGACTACAGGCCCCCAGGTTCCCCTGTCCATGGGATTTTCCAGGCAAGAATACTGAAATAGGTGGCCATGCCCCCTCCAGGGGATCTTCCTGACTCAGTATGGAACCTGGGTCTCAAGTCTCTTGCACTGGCCAGCAGGTTCTTTACCACTAGCGCCACCGGGGAAGCCCCATGTTAGGTTAATATGCTGTGCTTAGTCGCTCAGTCATGTCCACCTCTTTGTGACTCCTTGGACTGTAGCCCACCTGGCTCCTTTATCCATGGGGATTCTCCAGGAAAGAATACTGGAGTGGGTTGCCATGCCCTCCTCCAGGGGATCTTCCCAACCCAGGGATCGAACCCAGGTCTCCCGCATTGCAGGCAGATTCTTACTGTCTGTGCCAACAGGGAAGCCCAAGAATCCTGGAGTGGATGGATAGCCTTCTCCAGGGAATCTTCCCGACTCAGGTATCAAACTGGGATCTCCTGCATTGCAGGTGCATTCTTTATCAGCTGAGTTAAAAAGGAAGCCCATATTAGGTTAATATCCTTCTACAAAGGGCTCTTACAGAAATTTAGAAAAGTTTGCCATCCCATAGGAAAAACAAGCATGAGACATAAAAAAGCAGTTCACAAAAGAGATATAAATGCTCCCAAAATGTTCAAGCTCATTCGTAATAAAAAATGCAAATTTAAAACAATAATCAGATGTTAGCAGTTTTTTAAAATGACATTTCCTAAGGCTGAAGGTTCTAGAAACAAGCACTGGCATGCAGTAGTGGAGCGTCAATTAGTGTCTGGAAAGGACAATCTGGCGATGTGTGTTAAAAGCCCTTTATTATGTGCCTAACCTCTACTGACCTAGCAATGTCACCTAGAAGAATCCAAGGAAGAAAACCAAAGACTGCAGCATCTATTGAGTGCTTACCACATACAAACCCATGTGTTAAGAGCTTTATGCACATTCATATATAATCCTCAGAAACACTTGGTGAAGCAAGTCTGTTATTTATTCCCATCTTACCAATGATGAAACTGAGGTTCAGAAGTTAAGTGAATTGCCTAAGGCCACACAGTGAGTAAGTGGAGATGCTATACCCTAAACTTATCTGTCTGACTCCACAGTCCACACTTTCAACTGAGAACACGAGGATGTGTACTGCAGTATATAAGGGAAAAAGATGAGGGGACTCAGTGTTCACCAGGGGAGAACTGATCAGGTAAACTGTGGCATCCATAGAAGGGAATACTCTGCAGTCATTAGAAATGATGACACACATTAGGGAAATGCAAATCAAAACCACAGTGAAGCACCACGTCACACTCACTACTATGATCAATAAATTTATCTATCTGTAACTGTTGGTGAGGATGTAGAGAAATTAGAATATTTGTATATTCATTATGGGATTGCAAAACTGTACAGCTGCTGTGGAAAAAGTTTGGCAGTTCCTCAAAAAGCTAAACCTAGAATCACCATATGACTAGGAATTCCACTCCTGTATATACCCAAAAGAAATGAAAACAGGTACTCAAATAAATACAGATGTACGGATGTTCATAGTAGTGTTACCCACTCCAAGCTCACTCTGCTCGCTGCCAAATGACAGGCCAATGAATCTGAGAGACGAGGTGTTGAGGAAAGGAAGAGGCTTTAATCAGGGAGCCAGCAGATCAAGAAGATGACAGGCTAGCGCCTCAAAATAACCATCTTATCGCATTCTGGATGCCAGGTTCTTTTATAGATCAGAGATGGGGGGAGGTGAGGAAGCAAAGTAAAAAAGCCATTCGTCTTGCAAACATCTCCTAAAATGGCAAGCCTCAGGCAACGGATGTGTTAATTTCTCCCTTCCTGCCATCCACAGGTGGACAGGGTTCTGAACAAAGGCACGTTAGTTTAACAGTCAGGCAGAGGGGCAGGATTCTGAGGCAAACCATTCTGTACGATATAATAACAAATTGACAGGGAAGCCTGGCGTGTTGCAATCCATGGGGTCGCAGAGTCAGACGTGACTTAGCAGACTGAACTGAATAATAGCAAAAGCAAAGAAAAGCAAGTTAAAGAAACAATTCCATCATGGGGTCAGAACTGGCTTCCTCCCTGTACCGCTGTATTATTCATAATAGCCAGAAGGTTGAAACAGATAAACAAATTGAGGGCAGAAGTATGTGTGCAGTGGAATACATACATATTCCTATATAACAACATATATATATATGTGAATATTACTCATATGAAAAGAAGTACTCATAAAATGCTAAAATGTGGATAAACCTTGAAAATACTATAATTTTAAAAAGCCAAAAACATATTGTATGATTCTATGTATGTGAAATATCCAAAATAGGTAAACTCCACAGAAACAAGTTTCCATGGGTTGGGGAAGAAGGAAATGGGGAGAAACTGCCTAATGGTTATGGAGTCTTCTTTTGTCTTTTTTTGAGACTTCTTTTGTGATGATGAAATTATTTTGAAAGGAGACAGAAGTGGCGGTTGTACAACATTGTGAATGTACTAAAGGCCACTGGATTTTTCACTTGAAAATGTTTATTTTTATGTTTTTATATTTTATGATTTCACTTCAATTTAAAAACTTTTCAAGTAGAATAAAATTCAATAAAACATGAAAATGCTTACACTCTACTAACAAGTGAAAAAAGGACACTATACAAGAGTATTCCAATATGGTCCCACTTCCTATTTATAAAAGAAAGATGGGAAGAAAGAAAATATGCGAGAACATTTAAGGCAGAGAATATTGGTTTTGTTTGCTTTTTTTAGTGAGTATGTGTGAAAGTGATCTTCCTTCCCAAAGGCAGACAGGCAGTTGCTTCATCTGGCAACAACTCTCTCCCCAAGGCATCAAAAGGACAGTGTCCTTCCCCAGAAACAGAGATGTCAGGAGCCTGAGGCCTCCGCTGATGTGAACAGTGTCGCTTGGGGTTGATTTTTTTGCCTTTCAATTGTTCTACCCTGTTCTTGTTTTTGAGTAGGAACAGGAAAGCTGAAAAGCAGGAAGGAGGGAGCCCGGGAAACATAAATCAGCCGTCTCCTGCTCCGAAGTCTAGACAAGGGAGCAACAGGGAAGGAGCTGGCAGGAGCAGACCCCCAGGGAGAAATGTGGCCCTCTCAGATTTTCTTCTTCCTACTTCTGGGTTACTGTCCTCCAAGGAAACCAGAGAGTCAACTCAACGACTGGAGAGGCTCATCCGCAGGCACAGGGAGACTGGGTGGTGGGAATCTCTCTCTGACTGTAAGGCTCCTGTCTCAGCAAGAAAGACAGCGGGCTTCCCTGGCGGCTCAGTGGTCAAGAATCCTCCAACCAATGCAGGAGACACGGTCAGATCTCTGCTCCAGGAAGATCCCACATACCGCAAAGCAACTAAACCCACACACCACAACTACTGAACCTGTGCTCTAGAACCTGGGGGGAGCCGCAACGGTCGGAGCCCACTCGCCTTAGAGTCCGTGCTCTGACAGGAGAAGGCGCTGCAATAAGAAGTCCGCACGCCGCAACGAGAGAGTAGCCCCTGCTCACCGTATCTGGAGCAAAGCCCGTGCAGCAGGGAAGACCCAGCACAGCCAAACAGAATTAATTTTTTTTTAAAAAAAAGAAGAAAGTCAGAGGGGCACGTTGTCCCTGTTTTAACAGAAATTGAGACTTTTCATCAATTTCTCTATTTCTTAAAGCCTTCAAATGATTCAAATATTTTCAAATGCCATGGGAAAGCAAGCCTGTGGGCCCCATCCAGGCTGTGGGTTAGGTCTGCACCCTCTGCAAACACCAGCCAAGCCACCCTCTCCCTTCTCGGTGGCAAGGAAGAAGGCAGCCACCATATTTGAAGATTAATTTGCACCAAACATGATGCTCTTGATCCAAGGTTTTCTTGGAACCCCAATTTAAATATATAAAAACAAAATAATCCTGAGTTTAGAAGAGGGAAAATAAAGAAGAATATGAATATGTCAAATTGAATATGAATTGAATATGTCATATGAACATGAAAAGAATATGTCAGCTAAGAAAAATGATTAAGAAACTCACACTGACACTGAGCCATGTTTCTCTGACTTGTCCACTGTTACTCTCACCGTACAGTTTCCCCATCTGGGATGCTTTTCAACTGTTCTCTGCAGGAGCAATTTCTAGCCTTGTGGCTGGGATCAACCAGAACACCTTCCCGAAAATGTTGATTCAGTAGACTGAGTCGAGATCCACCAGCACCAAAATGGATGGGCACCATCCAATTCACAAGGGGCCCAAATGGAGCAAAAAGATAAAGGAAGGGCAAATTCTCTTGCTTCTTGAACTGAGATATCCATCTTTTCCTGCTCTCAGATATCAGAGCTCCTGGTTCCTAGACCTTCAGAT